TCTCTTCCCTGTTTTTCTTCCATTTCATCTGTGCTCAGAGTGGAAAATTGGGATCTGTCCTGCAGTGATACACTGACAGCCTGTCCCCAGTTCCTGAGGCTGCTCAGGAGCCCATGGCTGTGCTTGATGCTTCCTGGGATCTGAGATCTCTTGCTGGGAAGCACTACAGGGCTGCAGGTAGAGCTCCATCAAACAGCTCATTTTTCCTGTTTGTTTTAATTCCCCTGCCCTGAACATGCTCTTCCCTTTGTTGACAGCAATCTGCTTTTTCACCTCTGGCTCTATATCCTGGGTGGATATTTCTAGGATACAGCAGAAACATTATCGGCTCTTTGTCCTATGTGCAAAATGGCTTTTCCCTAAAATTCCTTGCCCAATCTCTTAGCCTCAGGAGATGGGATTCTTGGCTGAACTCCCCACCTACCTGCGGGGCATTGTCTGTTCTGCAGGCAAGTCATGCAGGCTCCTCTGAGGCTGACTGAAAGGTCTGTGCTCCTGGAAGGCTCTCAAGCCCCACAACATCCGACCTAGAGGCTCAAAAAGAAGCCACACAAGTACAATTTGCAGCAAGGCACCTCAGCCTGCCGTGTGGAGTGTCAGGCAGCAGGACACATGGAAGGGCTGGGGGTGTATCTCTTCTCCACAGTATTTTTTCCATGCAGCTTGGGTGCTCCTGTCTGTAGTGCTGGAGCCGAGGGATTCTTCCCCTGTAAATCCTGCCATGGAGCAGAGGCACCAGCTGGCTTCACTTAGTTTGTGTGCACTTGAATTTTTTTGCAGGCAGTGCTAGATCTGCTGATTGTAAGTGTTCCCTCATGTTCCATCAAATACCCCCAAAACAGCAACATCAGGCAAGGCAGGATCAACACTCCCCAGCTGGTTAGCACGGTGGCACATCCAGAAAACACTTAGTGTTTTCTGCTCTGATTCTGTTTCAAAAGGGGTTTCTTTGAGTTGGAGGTTGGGATTTTTTTTGTGTGTTCCTTCCCACCTCATGTCCTTTTTGTGCTGTTCTCCAGGGACTCCAGTGCTGTAGGTGGAGCTCAGGACTCCATTGTGTCGCTTTCCTGTGTAGTTGTTGGTCTTGGCCAGCTTTGCTGCCCTTATTTATAGAGGGGAAATCAGAGAGGTTGAGTTCTAGCACAGGCAGCTGCTGGAGTGGGTCTGGTGATTTTGGCATGTGTAGACAGTTGGGAATGTTGGTGCAGTGGGCTGGAAGGTGTTTGTGTTCGTGCCATTACTTTTGTCCAGCACCACTTCCAGCTGAAGATGAGAAATGCAGCAAAGTGGTTCTTGTGTTTGTGGGCAAAGCTGTGACACTGCAAAATTAATCTGTGGCTGAGGGAGCTGTGGGGGCTCAGCCTGGAGAAAAGGAGGCTCAGAACCTCCTCACTGTCTGCAACTCCCTGCCAGGAGGTGCAGCCAAGTAGGGTCAGGCTCTGCTCCCAGGGAGCAAGGGACAGGATGAGGGGCCTCAAGTTGTGCCTGGGGAGGTTCAGGTTGGACATCAGGAGGAATTTCTTCATGGAAGTGGTTGTTAAACATTGGAAAGGGCTGTCCAGAGAGGTCATGGAGTCACCATCCCTGGAGGTGTTCAAGGAACGATTGGACGTGGCACTCAGTGCTCTGCTCTAGTTTACCGAGTGGTGATGGGTCCCAGGTTGGACTCGATGATCTTGGAGGTCTTTTCCAGCCTAATTGATGCTATGATTCTGTAATCCCTGTCTCACCAGGAAGCTCCTCATCAGTTACCCTTAGCCCTATAAGTGATGGGAACCCCACTCATGTCTCCCCAAGCTGATGTGAAGTGCTGATGAGTTCTGTGCAGGCATGGATGGAGTCTTGCTCCCTTCTTTGCATGAACCCGTGCCACTGTTTCGCAGTGTGGGGTGAGCTGGTGGGACATGGAGCTGTTACCTGCAGCACAAAGGTAACTCTTTATTCTTTTCCTCCTTTCCCATGCAGCCGAAGAGGTGGATCATGCCCCAGGTGATACCGGCATGGGGGTAGATGTTTTGGAATCAGGTGACGCCACACCTCCTACAAAGAGGAAAAGCAAGTTCTCAAGCTTTGGCAAGATCTTCAAACCCTGGAAGTGGAGGAAAAAGAAAAGCAGTGACAAATTTAAGGAGACTTCGGAAGGTAATGAGAGCTGGGTGGGTGTCCCTGGTTTGGTGTCACAAGCCTGAGTGCTGACATGTGTAGAGAACCAAAATGTGACTTTGGTGATGGGCTGGCACCTGCAGTCTCTCCAAAACACCTTGCCATGGAGCTATAGTTTCAGACAAATAAATTCCTTTCTTGCAAGGAACCTCCCCAAGCAGCTGTGGGGAGGGTTTGCTCCACGATCCCCAATGTAGTGTGAAGTGCAGGCCTGAACGTGCAGTCCCCTCCCTCCTCTTAATCCATGCAAAACCAGTGAAATTTGAAGCCCTTTTATTTCCTCCAGAGGATCCCTTTTTAAAAATAAAAAAAAGTCTCATCATGAACTTGGACTTTCCCTGTTTTCTGAGTGCTTTTTTTCAATTTAATATCAGTTTTAGAACGAAAGATTTCTATGCGAAAGCCAAGAGAGGAGCTGGTAAAAAGAGGGGTTCTGTTGGAAGACCCTGAGCAGGGTGAGTCTGCAAACAAACTTCTCCTCCTATCTGTGTCTGTGTAGCTGATCCTCCTCTGGAAATCCTCACCTTTGCCACTGTTCCTTTCTGGGGAGACAAATTGAAGGCTCTTTGCTAGTGTGTCTTACTCTTCTCAATCCTCTCTCCTGTCTGATTTCCAGCCTGCTCAGGGAGGGAGGTGTTGCCAAAGAAGCTCAGTGCCTGTCTTGGCCACCTTCCTGCCTGCCACTGGCAGGGTGGGGAGGGCTGTGCTGTGTGTCACTTCCCATCCTGTCCCTCTCTACGTGTCCTGCTCCAGATCCCTGCTCTGTCCTGCCAAGCTCTGCTGTCACACTGGCACTCACCATCTCCAGCCTGTTCCAATCACGCTCCAGACTGCACTCTGACCACTGTGGGAGAGGCACTGACCTCAGGGCTCAGCTTTGGAGCCCTTAGGCTTGGAAAAAGGATCAAAACTGGATGAATTCTGAGCTGCCTGGGTAGGGACATTTCTTCCAAGAGATGCTTCATGGTATGGTGTCACAGTCACAACTAAGCTTATTAAAGCTTGCCGTGCTGTCTGAGAAGTCTTATCCCCTTTTCTGTCATGCCTGATGTCTCTGAGTTGGATTCATGCTGCCAGAGTAAGTTCTGAGATCACCACGTAGTCCCCTGGCTGTGAGGTGGGTGATGTGGGTCCAAGGGAGGGGACAGGAAGGTGTGGTGGGATAGCAACTCTCCTGCCTGGGTGGGAGCATGGTCCCATATAATTGCACCTCCAGAGACTGTGCAGCAGCCTCAGCCTAATGCAAATTTCATTCTAAGACAGTTACAAAGTGGAAAAGTGGAGGTGAAAAAGTGGTTTTCAGACCAAACCACTGAAAGCAAAACTGAGAGGAAAAGTCTTCGCACAGCTGTTTGCAGCTATGCTGTAATGATGCCATCAACACCTCCCCGAGGGCGTCAGTGCTGTGCTGGGGGAGGAGCTCACCAGGGGGCAGGAGGGTGTGAGGCCACAGGATGAAACTGGAAGAGAGATCAAAGACTTTGGGTACCAAACTTTCAGCTAGAGATGGCAGAGGGGAGAGAGATCTTCCACGCTGTAAAGGTGTGACAGAAGCCTGGCTAAGTGGAGGAATTATTTTCTTCCTTGAGTCATCTGCTCTGGTTTTAGAAGCAGAAGATGGGTGTAATGTGGACAAAGGGCAAACCCAGGCACGAGGGAGCAGTCTGTGTTGGCAGGAGGTTAGATTAGAGTCACATTATCTAAATCCCTCCTGGGAGTTTAAGACACTTGGGCAGTCATAAGACATGAGGGTGGGTCATTGTGCTTGCTTGCAAGTTTAAAACCTTCTCTTACAAGGTCAGTTAATTTTCTTAGGCAAGTTCTTAGAGGGGGGGAAATGCTGGAAAGCCTTTGAGATGAGGATGTAGGGAAGGAGGTGAAGCCACGAGAGGAGGCTCTGCTGCTCTCTGGGCTGGGGGCAGCAGGCTGTGGGCTCCAGGCTGTGGGCACTGGGCTCACAGTAATCAAAGAAGATGGCACTGGACTTTCTTGGCCTTGAAGGAGGTCAGGGGAGCTGAAGGTGAGAGTCAGGTGGTGTGAGAGGCCACCAGGAGCTGCAGCTCCCTGCCAGAGCAGGGCACGCAGGGTGGAATGGTGAGGGAGGCTGCATCATGCTGTTCCTGTCTCCCTTGCTGAAAACTTTGGATAATCAGAGGCAATTGCTGCTATAAAAATCTCTGGCTCATCCCTTGAGTTGCATCCCTGTCTGGGGAAGAAACTCCCTCTTGTTGCTGTCTGTGCTTCCTGCACTTGAGGGAAGGGCAGTGAGGAAAGCAGTGCAGTCTCCCAGCTCCTTGCAGCAGCTGAGGCTCTTTCTTGTGGAAAAGAAATCCCAGGGAGCTTTTGCCTCCTTGGCAGCTCTGTTTTCAGTTTCTGAATACATCAGGTTAGGGAAGGGGAGGAGGTAATACTTGGCGGGGAGAGGAAAGGTGAAGAAGGCAGTGGAATAGATCATCAAAAATCAGAGCAGCAGAGCCTGCTGGGGTCTGGCATCTGTGGGTGCTCTGCCATACACTGCAGCTCCTTCAGAGGGGGCAACTGAAAAGATAAGGATTTTTAATCCAATTGATGATGTATCCAAGTTTCCTTGAGTTGGAAATCAAGTCAGAATGGACAGCTACCCATTAGAGTGGATGATGAGTCTGGTTTAGGGAGTAATAATGTTCCAAAGTTTGTCCTGTCAGGGCAGTTACAGGGAATGGCTTAGTGTTTCCTCATGGGGATTAGGGGTTCAAGGGCTCTCTAAAGCATGGGCTAGATTGGATGGGGTTTGTTCCAAAAGAGGTCTAACATTGGGAAGCTCCATGCTGGAAATAGGATGAACCACATCAGGCTTTGGAGCTGTATCACTACGTCTTAGTAAAACAAAGGTACAGTGAGGAAATCTGCCTTGCTGATGTTTTGGGTTGAGCATTGACTTTTGTGCCAAATTCAGGGAGAATCTGAAGGAGAACAGAGGTTCTGCCACTAATTTTAAGATTTTATCAACATCTGTTATTGCATGTGCAGTAGGTGACTTGGCTCATGTTGGAATCTGTTGCAGCAGAGTGACTGCTCTGAGATGGTGGGTAGCTATCAAAGCTGCTGGAGGGTTTGGAGTTACAACTTCCTTGGGCTGTGACACAGCACTGGGCACATGTCAGAAACACAGGAGCCTTCTTTCTAAACGAGGTAGTAGGTTAAGAGGCTGCTGCAGAAGGAAAACCTGTGATGGGATGCAGTGCTGTGCTGTTTTACTTGTTGATAATGAAACGAAGGTCTCCCAGCTCTACCTGATTGGGTTGCTGTGCTCTCCTCTGCAGAAGGTACCTCAGGACCAGCTGTTTCAGAAGTCAGAGAGAAGCTGGTGTGGCTCCATGGAGGTTCAGTCAGTTTCTCTCCTCTCCTGCTTTCTGAGTGTTCTCTGTTTGCTCTCTCCCCTCCCGCCCCTTGCAGATGGTGAAGACCCAGAGAAGCTGAACCCACCTGCACTGAAGAATGGCCACACAGTCCCCATTGGTGGTCCTGGGGTGGCCAGCCAGGAGGAAGAGGCCACAAAGCCATCCAGCCTTAGGAAGCCTGTTCCAGTGGAGGAACCAAAGAAGAGGCAGGGTGAGAATCCAGATATGTGCCAAATCAGTGTTTCAGGTTCTCCTAGGACCAGATGAATTCTCATCTATCCTTCCTACCCTCCCAGCCCCTTAAACTGATCTGTCTCCCTTTGCAGGCTCCTCCAGCAGCCACTCTGGGCCTGAACTGGAACAACCTCAGGAGCCACATGTTCCCAGACAGCCTCTGCTTCCTCCCAAAAGACCTCCCTCTACTTCCCAGGAGGCAAACGAAGTGCAGGCGAAGGACCCAACGTCTGCCAGCAGCACTGCAAAGACTGTGCCCTCCACCACAGCCCCCACTGCAGCAAAGACACTCAATTCCACAGCTGCCCCTTCCCCAGCCCCCAGGACTCTGTTCCCTGCTCCTGCCAGTGCCAACACTACTGCTCCCACCAGTACAACCAGCACAGCTCCTGCCAAACAGCCTCCTGTCCCTCCTCCCAAACCTGTCAACAGAAATAGCAACTCACTAATAGGTAAGTGACCCTCTCAAAGTGGTTTTTGTACCCTGGTGTGTTCTAGGGTCACTGCTCCAAGAATGTCTTCCCTTTGTAAGGGAGGATTTTTAGTATAATGTAGCAAATGTTGTATTGTGTCTGTCTGACCATCTTTCCTGAAAACAGTCCAGTTTGGACTCAGATCTGGCAGTGCTTAGCCAGGGCACAACTGTGCTGGGAACAGTGTAATTACTGGAGTCCTCTGCTGTGAGCCATCCAATCTGTTCCCAACAGGAAGGAATCCCTGCCTGCTTTTGGTGTGAGGAGAGGGGAAGGCATTTCTCTGTCAACTCTAAGACAGTGTCTGAATGTTGATGCTTCTCTGAGAGCTGGGATTGGGGGATGGTGGGTGAGGTTTTGCTGTGAGAGACTGTGGTCGGTGACAATTCCTGCTTTCAGCTGGTCTTGGGGAAAAACACAAACCAACCCAAAAAAATCCACATTGCACCGATGTCTGTCATGGCTGTGGTTTCCACTCAGTGCAGAGAGGCCAGGAGCTGGCAGGGATAATTCAGGCTTCCCTGCTTATACTCAAGCACCTCCTCGAGGCTGTGACTGGGCTATTGCCATAGTAGTCTTGTCTTTAAGTCTTGTCCTATAGATAAATCAGCTCAACTGTAATTTGAGCTGAATTTTCCCACTTAAAGAATTAAATGTCTTTATCTCTGTAACTTTTCTAAGCAGAAGATTTGAGGAGAGTTTCTTTAAAGCTGTTTTAGTCTCTGCTCTCTGTAGGAGTTCTGGGAGTCTTAAAGATGCAACATTGAGAGTTGAGGTGACTTCCATAGCCCGTTGGTATTTCAGACAGTCCTTTCACAGACACCTCCTAATCTTTGGACAGGATTAGCAGAGGCTAGCACAGATTGGGAGGGAAGCTGAGCACAGATCAGGAGGGAGGCTCAGCACGGGGAGGCTCCTGAGAAGATCAATCCAACAGGTCTGCACTGTTATTGCAGAAACTGGAGGCGTTACCCAGGTGTGGTTTGGGAGGCAGTGGTGGATGTGCAAGTTGCCGTCTGCAGGAGCCTGGGCCACTGTTTTCAGTGTGAAGGGATCTCTCTGCTCTGCTCAGGCCTCACCTTGCTCTGGCAGGTTTTGCAAGTGACCTTGGTACAGTGTCAAACACTCCTGTGTGCCAGACCAGCTCGATTAGCCTGACCATGCCTGAGCACTCCATGAAATACCTTCTTGTTTTCTTTAAGCTGCTTGCACACATCACAGATGGCATTTGCAATGCCCCAGTGCTAATTGCAGGAGGTACTTGTGGAACAAAGAAATGTGGCTGGAGACAGTGGTGTATCCAACATCTGTTGGGAGCCAACCTGCCTCTTCCCAGTAGCACAGGGCTGGGCTTGGACACACCTGCAGCCGTGGGGGTGTGCAGGGGAGGAAGGAGAGGAAAGCAGGCAGTTCTTTTGTCTCCTGGATGAGGATGCAGAAGCAGAAGAGGCTCTGCAGCTCTCTCTGCAGCTCTCCACGGGTCCTGGTCTGGCAGGATGGAGCTGTGGCTGTGGATGAACAGCAGCAGTGGAATTGGCTGGAATGTGTGTCCTTTTATAACAGCCTGAGGCAGGGCAGAGTGTTACTGTGCAGGTCACCCCTGTGTCCCTCCCAAAGATGCTCCTGTAGCACTTATTTTCCAAGCAGTTCTGGTGTCGGATGCAGCAGCTAAAAACAAGGCTCAGGAAACACTTGGGAAGTGGAAATTTCATCAGCATCAGCTTGAACAAACAAGCAGGGAACACAGGGTGCTGCCCTGCTGTCCCAGAGACCAGCAGTAGCCCCAGGGCTCGGTGCCTGGGACAGGTTTCAGGAGCTGCAGGTGGCACAGCCTGTGCTGGAACACTGGCTCTGCCCATGGTGGCACATCACAGAGGGCTGTGCCAGCCTGTGCACTGGGTCTGTCACACTGGAGGGAGACAGGCTGGCCCAGGAGGATGCTCCAGTGGAGGAACCAAAGAAGAGGCAGGGTAGGAATCCAGCTGTGTGCCAAATCAGTGTTTCAGGTTCTCCTAGGACCAGATGAAACCCTTTTGGTTTCTTCTGCCAGCTCCTCACTCCGTTTCCAATTCTGTCCTTACCCAGAGGTAGCTGGAGCCTGGTCCTGCCAGGCTTGGAGCACTGCTGAGGACACACTGGAGTCCCCTGGGCTGGAGCTGAGGGCACTCGGTGTTTTGCGCAATCTTGGCCTTTAATCTACAAGGGGAAAGTCTGAAAATGCTAAACATCCCAAAAATGTGCCCACCTCTCTCCAGTCCTGCAGCCTTATCTCGGGAACACGCCGCTCGCAGCACCCTCTCGTGGTGTCTGGCGCTGCAGGTTTCTGCCAGCTCCGTGTCACCTGCTCCAGGGGGAACAGCAGCAAATCTCATCTGCTCCAGGCATGTGGCAAAGCCTTTCCAAGCCCAAAAAGCCATAGACAAATGGGTGTTAAAGGCTACAAACTTCTGAAGCAAGAGCAGGTTCTTCCCTAGGAACTGATCAGGTTGAGGAAGCTGAGATTGCCTACTGCAGGCATTTTCCATGTCTCCCATTTCCCTCTCTCTCCTCCATCACACAGCAGATATGTAGACTCAAGGCTTTTAGGTATTTTTTGAAATTTTCCTAGTTATTTTCTAGCTGCAGATGAGTTTATATGGGGCTTAAGGCATAGGATAGAGCAGAACCTCATCCTGAGGAGATGCTGGCAGTGGGGCTGGGTCTGATGGAGATGGGGAGAGGACATTGCTGCAGTCAGCTCTGCTGACTTTTGCCTTTGAGCAAAAGGTAAGGCTTGAAGACTTTCTGAGGCTTCCCAAAAAGTTCTTTAACGTGCAGGGGAGCTGTCAACACAACTGGAGCGTGGGGTGTCCTGAATGTCTTGGATTCCTTTGATGCTGTAAATAAAGCCATGAAGTGCCCACATACCTGCATTCCTGGGTGAGCTCTGATTGCTGTCACTGAGAGCTGGTGCCATTCCTCTCTCTCCAGAGCAGCAGGATGCACAGACCTCTCCCAGCCTGCTTGTTTTTGGCTGCTCTCCCAAGTCTTACCTTTGCTGCAGGAAGGACAAACGAGAGCCTCGCAACCTGGTTATTTCTGGCACCATATTCCAGCAAAAAGCAGCAGAGACTGCTTAGTCCAAGGCTCAGAGCACATTGCTGTGCTCATTCCACACTGGTGAATGATATCTGGAAAATTCCCTGTTCAACTTAGTGGCTTTTGTGGTTTTTTTATTTCCAGCTGAACTTTCCCAAGCGATGAACAGTGGTACAACCTTGTCCAAGCCTTCCCCTCCTCTCCCTCCGAAGAGAGGACTCCTGCCCAACAGCACGTCAGAGGTTGTCACCTCTAAGCCCCCGAACGACAGGACAGTGACAGGGAACCGCCCTGCACCACTCCCTCTGCACATGCCCTCAGCTTACCCCCCACCCTCACCCTCACCACCACTGCCCACACACGTACCCCCCGAGCCTCCACGCATGCCCCTGCCCACCTCCACCCCTGTCCCGGACCCTCCACGCTCCCTGGACCTGCCCAAAGAGACTCATCCTCCTCCTCCTCCACCACCTCCTCC